AATTGTATTTTTTCTTGTCTCACCTTTTCATGTCATTCAACATTTTAGCTTAGAAAATGACAAACAGTATGGTTTCAGTATTAGAGTAAAGTTTATTTTACCCAAGGAAAAGCACTACATATTAGGGTTGGAACTAGGGATGCACGATATAATCGGCCCCCTATCGGTATCAGCCTGTATCGGCCTTAAAACTGAATATCTGACATCGGCCACCCCACCGATATTTAACCCGATATTTGATCAGCTTCTGAGTTTCTAAAGACTAAAAAAAAAAAAATATACTACTTCTTCTTCTTTCTCAAAAACTTCTTTTTTACAGACTTAAAAACTACTAAAGACAAGGGAAAAAATATCGCTACATTAAAATATCACCATATCTTCATATGCTGATATATTGCCATTTAAAAACACCATATCAATCTCTTTTACTAATGAAATATTGCTATATGTCATCGTTATGCTACGAAATCCCCCAAAAATTCACAAAATTTTGCCATATTTTTATATGTTGATATATTGACGCGGTATCAATCTATTTTACTAACAAAATCTCACAAGAATTTGCAAAATATCACGAGAGTTTGTAACAGAACGATGAAATTTCACGAGATTTTGAAAGTAAAATAGATCTATACAGCGTTTTTAAAAATCAATTTGATATCAGCATATGAAAATATATTTGAGTATATTATTTTTCAAAGTGTCAGAAATGGATAACAAAACTGCTGTTTTCAATGACTACTAATTTTTGTCCAGCTTTAACATCGGAATCGATATCGGCTATCTGCTACATGAGTTTTAAAATATCCGCATATCGGATATCGGCCAAAATCCCAATATCGTGCATCCCTAAAAAAAACTTAAAAAAATAGGAGTTTAGCACATATTCTGAAAGTAAGAGTTGTAGTATGAGCTGCTTGCTAGCAAGGGCAACAGACCCAACTCTTTTGCCAAATGGCGATGGTTAGTGGGTCAACCCGGGTTCGAAAAAACGATTTTAACCCACTTGATGGAACGCAGCTTAAATAAGCTGCCCAGCTCTGACGCAGTTAAAGACAAAGCTAGAGTTTCTCTCTCAGATATCAGATATATTGATTACGAATGAGAAGACACGGGTGGTGCTATATAATATGTCTCAAGATATTTGGGTCATGATACGATATTATCACGATACTGTAATATCACTATATATTATGATATTTTCCCAGCTATCAGAATTAAATGTATAGATATAAAAGCAAGTCCTGCATATGTTCATCGGAAGATATTGATAATTAAATTACTATGGTATTCATTAGGGGTATAAATAATAATTGTTTTGTATCGATGCATCGATACGTCCGCAAGAGGATCGATTCATGTTTTTTATTGTCCTCCGGTCTATTTTTATCCATTTGCCCCTGGACGTAATTCTCCCTCCCGTCCTGCGGTGGTGCTGACCCTATTTTGCCCTCCTACCTCGCTTCCTGGTTATACTCTTACAGCAGTGTGTTGCAGTAAGCTTGACACAGACATTTTTGATTTATGCTCAATATTGAAGTGTGGTCTGTGCAACACACTGTGGGTCTAGATACAGCCGAGGCGGCGAGGAAGTGGGGCAAGTTTAGTTCGACAACAGGGGGAAATGAGGGCCAAAAAGAGCGGAGATCCAGGTGGAAAAAGGCTCCCAGCGTTCTCGCGCACCTCGCTCTTCTAGCGGGTCAAACTTCACAAGTTGTTTTCTGCAATTTCGGTCATAAAAACAAAACAAGCCGACCTCCTGTCTGCGGCATTGTTTGCGGTCAGCTACAATTTGGGAGAGGGGCAGCGGGGCATCTGTGGAGGGGGCGGGGACATCTGGGGCCGAGGTATTGAATTGCACTGATTTTGTGCAGTATTTTTTCATGCAACTTTTCTACTTCTGTTATTTGCTGTTGTTTCTCAAAAAAATGCATAACGATATTACAGCTTTCATTGATTTATTTCAAATTTGAAACATTGTCTAGCCTGTAAGGTGTAAACAAAAATAAATAAATAAATAAAAATTAACCAATTAATCGAATCGTATCGTGGTGTATTCTTGAGTATCGAAAATAATCGAATCGTTGGGTCAGGAAATCGATGCTGAATCGAATCGCCATGATGGATGTGATTTACACACCTAGTATTCATGTTGTTTGGGGTTAGAGTCAGTCCATGTCTTCCACTGTGACTGCCTCAGCTTCAGATACGGTGCTGCGCCGCACAGCAAAGGGGCTCCACCTGCCAGAGTGGTGGTGCAGAGGTAGCTATTTTCCCTCAGTATTTTAAGTAAAAATTTTTGTTTTTTTATTCAAGTCGATATCAAGAACTGAAAGATCGATATATTAGATAGGTCAGCCAAAAATCCCACACCAATCGTATTGATGACCTGAAGATATTTAAAGTACAGCTCAGGAAAAAAATACAGAACTACAGACTTTAGAGGATATTCTCAGTGGATGGAGCTAGGGCTGGGCGATAATTTGATAGCGATATATATCGATCGATAGACGTCTGGCGCAATAAAAAAAATAGGTTTGATAAAGAAACACAGTTTTCCTTCCTTCTCATTGTAGCCTATCATGTAGGTTGATGCAAGTCTCTACTTCCTCCCAACCAAGCGCAATTGCGGACCCAGGCATGACATCACAAAGCACCACCCTCTCAAATCACAACACAGAGCATATGAAGATTTCGCAGCAAGGAGAGGCGGAGGATATTGTACCGAAGAGGGGGTTTTGTAGTTCGCCAGTTTGGCAGTATTTTGGCTACAGCAAGTCGGACAAAAAACAAACTACAGTAATATGTAAAATCTGTAGGGAAACAGTGAAAACTAAGTCTGGTAACACAACCAACTTATTCTATCATCTCAGCCGCTCACACCCGCAGGAGTACGAGCTGTGTAGGCCCCAGCGTGGCTCTGCATCATCCTCCGAGGAAACATTGGGAATTTCTGCCAAGACAAAGCAGGCGACGCAAGCTAAATTGGGCTTCCTGGTTTCTGATAAATACGACAAAGCATCCAAGCGGCACAAGGACATTACTCATGCTGTAACATGCTTCATTGCAAAGGATATGCTGCCGTTCTCTGCTGTTGAAAAAACCTGGGTTCAAACAGCTGCTCGCCACTCTGGATCCACGATACGAAGTTCCAGGCCGAAAGTTTTTCTCAAACACAGCGCTCCCAAATTTGTACAAAAGTGCAGGGAATCAGTCAAAAGTGAGCTGCATTCTGTATCTTCCTACGCCACAACGTCGGACCTCTGGTCAAGTCGCACATCCGAGCCTTACCTCAGCCTATCAATTGACTACATAGACAGAGAATGGAACCTGAGAAGTACAGTAAGAGTCAAGAAACAGCGTACTTTCCAGACGACCACACAGCAGAGATGATTGCAAAAGGCTTGACAGAATTATTGGAGTCATGGGGTCTGAATGAAGACAAATGTGTGCATTACAACTGATAGCGGTGCTAACATAGTGAAAGCCACAACACTCAATCACTGGACTCTGCTCCAGTGTTTTGGGCACCGTCTACACTCTGCCATCGGTGAGTAGTTTGTTACTGAATTAAATCAGAATCAGCTTTACTGACCAGGGTTTGGCACACAAACCAAATGTCTGAAGAATTATGATATAGTATAAAAACTTAGTTATCAAAATAAATATTAAAATTTAAATCAATAACATTTAAAATAATGTGTAAGCAATATCATTATGGTCCATGGTTTAAAAGTTATGATAGTGATTTATAACAGAGTGCTTAATAATACAAATTATGGCTTGCTTGTCTTTTTAAATAACTTTTAAAATCTATTTCAGGTGCAGCATCCAAAGACAAGCGAGTGGAAAGGGCTGTTGCTGTGTGCAAAAAAGTTGTGGCAGCATTTAGCTATTCCTGGAAAAACCACCACCCAAATAGGGCATTCTATTTATTTTTTATTTATTTGTTATATTTATTTTGGTCGCTTTTCTGTTCACTTTAGTTTATTTTTTGTCAGTATTTAATAACATAACATAGATCTTTTAAGTTATTTTTCTTTAAACAATTCTGTTATGGTTAAAGTTGGTTAAATAAAGATTTAATTGGAACTCTGTGTTTGTCTTCTTTATTAAAATTAAATCATTTAGCAATATCATTAAATGTCCAGGTAGAACTGGACATAAAATATGGTTTCAAATCTTTTCAATAATTATCGATATCGATCAATATGCATTTTTTTTATCGATAAGCTTTTTTTCTATATCGCCCAGCCCTAGATGGATATAAGAGAAAATGTCAAATTTTGCAAGGCACTGCCATAAAAAAATAAAAGGAGGGGAAATTTTTCAGGAGAACTTATGAAAATTAAGACGGCTCGTTACCAGGACCGTCCAGACAAAACACCAAACACCAAACCAAAACACTGCATAATTGCAACATATATATTTAATGCTCTGAATGTCCATATTAATGCTGTTTTTTTGTTGTTTTTCTCCCACACCGTTTAAATTTGCTCACTGCTGCACTTTATGGAATGGAAATGTCGTGGAAGCTGTACAAAATCAAATTTTGTTGTATACACTCTGTGTATACAAAATGACCGTAGCTCCTGTATTGGATGGTGACTGTGACGTTTGTAAAGACCCAACAGGATCAGATATTTGGATCCTTGAGGATCATGGAGTCTCACTGCTCCATGCAGAGCTCTGATGGTTTTCATTCGCCTGAGTTGCAGGAGGAACGGTTTCTTACAAATGAGATGTTTCTTAGCAACCAATGAAGTGATGAATTAGTGTTGTGCAGAATAATCTGGCAGATGAATTTCATAATTTTAAGGAACTTGAGATACAAATGCAATAGGAAAAATTATTATGAGCACAAATAAGATCAAATAAAATGTGGAAAGTGCCAACACTGCGATCTTCCTTCTCACTGAGAAACTGGGCATCAGCAGTTTGAGTTCACTGCTGACTTTGTCGTTAAACAGAATAAGGTCTGACTCGGTTTGCATCCTGACCTGTTTTGGGCCGGGCAGAGCAGCGGCACCGTGGCGTTCCCTCAGCAGTCTCTCCTCCTCCGGCAGCAGCAGCAGAGGCCGGCCCAGCCGGATATTCTGTCTCGGGGTTCTGGGCAGGGAGCCGAGAAGTGCCCCCACCAGGCCTTTGGACCGCACCGTTTTAAGGTCCTGGATGCGCCACAGGAGCGGGGAAGAGTCACAGAGACTGAGCCCGACAACGAGGTCGGAGCTCTGTTCCTGCTCTTGCTGCTGTTCCTCCACCTGCCTGCAGGGCGACGCCTCCATCTGTGACAGAACGAGACAAAACAATTGTTAACTAAATCCAACCAAAGAGAGAGAAGGTCAAACTGAGCCTTAATCAGAGGCTCCGTTTGACCTGAACTGAGCTATAAAGTTAACTTCTCACCCTTAGTGTAAGTTTGACATGTTTATGTTATTGCTCCAAACTCACTGGCTGGTTAAGTTTCAGAAATTAATCATAACATTTTGAAGGAGAAAAGAAATCTAAACCTATTTCAGGGGCAGTGATGGAAGTAACGGCATTGAAAGTAACGGCAGCATTCAATAGCTCCACATCTCATCTGCGGAAGCATGCTTTGGTAAGCATTAGTACTTCATAACTAATAGCCAATTAGCAAAACAACCTGGTTATTTATGGAGTCAAAACAAGTGATTTAGCCTTTATTTGCATTATAACTGTTTATGTTAAAAGAAGTATGGCACTCAGAATGAACAATTCATGGCAATTCCACTTTCAATTGATGTGGAAACATTGAAAACATTTTATGGGATGTTCTGCACTAAAATGGCACATTATACCTTTCTAAGGGTCTTAAATGTCATGTGTGGCGTGTTTTATGTTGTTATTGCATTTGTCCTCGTACTCGTCGTCTCCCGCTTTATCCGGAACCGGGTCGCGGGGGCAGCAGACTAAGCAGAGACTCCCAGACTTCCCTCTCCGCAGACACCTCCTCCAGCTCTGTTGGGGGAAGCCCTAGGCGCTCCCAGGCCAGCCGAGAGACATAGTCTCTCCAGCGTGTCCTGGGTCGTCCCCTGGGCCTCCTCCCGGTGGGACGTGCCTGGAACACCTCCCGAGGGAGGCGTCCAGGGGGCATCCGAAGAAGATGTCCGAGCCACCTCAACTGACTCCTCTCGATGTGGAGGAGAACCAGCTCTACTCTGAGCCTCTCCCGAATGACCGAGCTCCTCACTCTATCTCTAAGGGAGAGCCCAGCCACCCTGCGGAGGAAGCTCATTTCAGCCGCTTGTATCCGGGATCTCGTTCTTTCGGTCATGATTCAAATTTCATGACCATAGGTGAGGGTAGGAACGTAGACCGACCGGTAAATTGAGAGCTTTGCCTTTTTTCGCTCAGCTCCCTCTTCACCACGACAGACCGGTGCAGCGTCCGCATTATTGCAACAGCCGCACCGATCCGTCTATCAATCTCCCGCTCCATTCTTCCCTCACTCGTGAACAGGACCCCAAGATACTTGAACTCCTCCACTTGATTCTCATCCCGGCCGCTTCACACTGGGCTGCGAACCGCCCCAGCGCACGCTGTAGGTCTTGGCAGGAGGGAGCCAGCAGAACTACGTCATCCGCAAAAAGCAGGGACGAGATCCGCTGTTCCCCAAACCAGACCCCCTCCGGTCCTTGGCTGCGCCTAGAAATCCTGTCCATAAGTTATGAACAGGACCGGTGACAGAGGGCAGCCCTGATGGAGTCCAACATGCACTGGGAACAGGTCCGACTTAGTGCTGGCAATGCGAACCAGACTCCTGCTCCGCTTGTACAGAGAACGGATGGCCCCTAATAAAGGGCCCCCGACTCCATACTCCTGGAGCACCCCCCACAGGGCAGCACGAGGGACACGGTCGAATGCCTTCTCCAAGTCCACAAAACACATGTGGACTGGTTGGGCAAACTCCCATGAACCCTCAAGCACCCTGCAGAGAGTGTAGAGCTGGTCCACTGTTCCACGGCCAGGACGAAAACCACACTGCTCCTCCTGCAGCCGAGGTTCGACAATCAGCCGGACTCTCCTCTCCAGCACCCTGGCATAGGCCTTTCCGGGGAGGCTGAGAAGTGTGATTTCCCGATAATTGGAACATACCCTCCGGTCCCTCTTCTTGTGGAGGGGAACCACCACCCCAGTCTGCCAATCCAGGGGAACTGTCCCCGACCTCCACGCGATGTTGAAGAGACGTGTCAACCATGACAGCCCGACAACATCCAGAGCTCTAAGATACTCAGGACGGATCTCGTCCACCCCCGAAGCCTTGCCACCGTGGAGTTTTTTGACCACCTCGGTGACTTCGGCCTGGGTGATGAACGATTCCAGCCCCAAGCACCCCGTCTCTTCTTCCCCCACGGAAGGCGTGTCCGTCGGGTTGAGGAGATCCTCAAAGTATTCCTTCCACCGCCCGACAATATCCTCCTTCAAGGTCAGCAGCTCCCCACTCCCACTGAAAACAGTGTTAGCGAAGCACTGCTTTCCCCTCCGGAGGCGCCGGACGGTTTGCCAGAATCGCTTTGAGGCCAACCGATAGTCTTTTTCCATGGCCTCTCCAAACTCCTCCCAGGCCGGAGATTTTGCCCCTGCAACCGCCCGGGCCGTGACACGCTTGGCCTCACGGTACCTGCTTATTGCATTTGTATAGTGCTTATTAATAACTGTTGTTAATGTTTGAAGGAAAGAAGGACGGCCCTCGGAACCAACAATTTATGGCACTTTTACCTTCAACTGATTGTTTGAAAAAGTTTTATGGGATGGTCTGAACTAAAATTGCACATTATACCTTTCTAAGGGTTTTAAATGTCATGTGTGACATGTGTTATCTTGTCATTACATGTGTATACATTTGTATAGATTTTTCTTTAATTAAAAACAAAATAGTTTTGGATTTATGACTCCTTGTCCTATTTTCACTAAATGGGAGAGATTCTCTGCCCCGTTCAACAGTTTTTTTTTTAATGTAACTAAGTAACTTTTACTTAAAATACATTTTAAATTAGCTAGTTATTACATTTACTTAATTTTTTTTTCTGATGGGTAATTTTACTTGAGTAATATTTCATCCAAGTATTGGTACTTTTACTTGAGTATGATATTTTAATACTTTTTCCACCTCTGGTTAAGTTTCTGATGGAGATGAGAAATCTGCTTCCTGGTCAGTTGAAGGACCAATAGTTTGCATCCAATATTTTAAATAAACAATGTTAGTTTTTTTTTATATACAAGAATTATGCTCTAATTTGTAGTTACCGATCTGTTGTTACTATATTTTAATTTGGATCTTCTTGCTGGATCTTCTAAACTGGATCTTCTTGCTGTTCTTTTTCCTCTTTGGTTCGATTGCAATAGCGGATCTTGACCTGGCCGGAGCAGAGAGGACCCTGCACATTTAGAGGATGTTTGGTTCAACCTGCTGCTGTGAAGCAGGATTCTCCACCATGAACAGAATCAAAAATAAATATGGATCCAGGCTCAAAATGAGCACCTTGATATTTGCTTTAGAATGGCTTTGTCTCCATTCAAACCCAGGTTTAAAGCCTTACAGGGCAGCATAAAGCCCACTGCGAACATTAAGACAGAAAAAAGAAAGAAAAATAACAAACGCTCAGTTAAGGTGTTAAAAATACAATATACAGTGGTGTGAAAAAGTGTTTGCCCCCTTCCTCATTTCCTGTTTTTTTGCATGTTTGTCACACTTAAGTGTTTCGGATCATCAAACAAATTTAAACAATAGTCAAGGATAACACAAGTAAACACAAAATGCAATTTGTAAACGAAGGTGTTTCTAATTAAAGGAGAAAATAAATCAAAACCATTATGGTCCTGTGTGAAAAAGGGATTGCCCCCTAAACCTAATAACTGGTTGGGCCACCCTTAGTAGCAACAACTGCAACCAAGCGTTTGCGATAACTTGCAATGAGCCTTTTACAGCGTTCTGGAGGAATTTTGGCCCACTCATCTTTGCAGAATTGTTCTTATTCAGTTACATTAGAGGGTTTTTCGAGCATGAATGACCTTTTTAAGGTCATACCACATCATCTCAATAGGATTCAGGTCAGGACTTTGGCTAGGCCACTCCAAAGTCTTCATTTTGTTTTTCTTCAGCCATGCGGTGGTGGACTTGCTGGTGTGTTTAGCATCTTTGTCCTGCTTCAGAACCCAAGTTCGTTTCAGCTTAAGTTCACAAACAGATGGTCGGACAATATCTTTCAGGATCTTTTGGTAGACAGCAGGATTCATAGTTCCATTTATCACAGCAAGTCTTCCAGGTCCTGACGCAGCAAAACAGCCCCAGACCATCACACTACCACCACCATATTTTACTGTTGGTATAATGTTCTTTTTCTGAAATGCAGTGTTCCTTTTGCGCCAGATGTAATGTAACCTTCCAAACAGTTCCACACAATTAATGTTCTTTTTGCTCAGCAGTGGTTTTCTTCTTGGAACTCTGCCATGCAGGCCATTTCTGCCCAGTCTTTTTCTGATGGTGGAGTCATGAACGCTGACCTTAACTGAGGCAAGTGAGGCCTGCAGTTCTTTGGACATTGCTGTGGGGTCTTTTGTGACCTCTTGGATGAGTCGTCGCTGCGCTCTTGGTTTAATTTTGGCCGGCCGGCCACTCCTGGGAAGGTTCACCACTGTTGCATGTCTTCACCATTTGTGGATAATGGCTCTCACTGTGGTTCGCTGGATTCCCAAAGCTTTGGAAATGGTTTTATAACCCTTTCCAGACTGATAGATCTTAATTACTTTCTTTCTCAATTGTTCCTGAATTTCTTTGGATCTCGGCATGATGGGAAGCTTTTAAGGATCTTTTGGTGGACTTTACTGTGTCAGGCAGCTCCTATTTAAGTGATGTCTTGATTGAAAACAGGTGTGGCAATAATCAGGCCTGGGTGTGGCAAAAAAATTGCATTTTGTGTTACCTTGTGTTGTCCTTGACTATTGTTTAAATTGGTTTGATGTTCCGAAACACTTAAGTATGACAAACATGCAAAAAAAACAGGAAATGAGGAAGGGGGCAAACACTTTTTCACACCACGGTAAAACAGAATATGTGAATCAGGAAATTGTCTGTATACCAAACTATTGTTGTTCTCTACTTCAAAACACACTTTAGATTTTAAAATAGAAATTTTTCTTTTTTTTTTTTACATTTTTTAATTAAAAAGTTCAATATATAACATGGATGCATAAACACCTAATATTATTTCAGTGTTAAATTCTGTTTAGAGTAACAGATAATTAAAAATGTCTCCAGACCTTTACAGGTTGATGATTTTCTTTATTCTAGCGCCGCTGATTTTTAATTGGTTACCCCTGCTATAAGGGTTGATGAACCTGCAGTTACAGGATTTAAAGGCTTTTGTTAGGTTTTTGTATTTAGCTAAAAACAAGCCCAAACAAATTTGAACGCCATACATTTATTCAGTGCTTTCATGTTGCTGAGAATGCAACAGTAACAAATAAAAATATTATAAAATACATATACGTAGACTGGTTTCTTTAATTGGCTCTTTTGTAACGGCTCAGAAACATCAGCAACATTAATAACAAATAAAAAAAGGAAAAAAACTGTGACTAAAAAAAAAGAGAGATGTTTTGATTTTTTTTTTAACTAGCAAAGAACACACTATTTAAAAACCTGCTTTTGTCAAACTTGCATTACAATATTAATTTTCAAGGCTACTTACACTCAGTTGCTTTTTTTGTTGTTGAAAAAGCTCTGTATGTCTGATGACTTTTTTGCTGGCATCCATTTTTTTTCCTTTTTTAAACCAACCCATCTACTACTTTTTTATTGGAAATAAAACGTGAAGTAGCTGCTGGTTAATATTAATGAGTGCTACTGTGTGTTGTCTCTCCTCCAATCACATAGCTACTGATGAAGCGGTAAATAGCGACTCTGATCCAATCAGGATATAGGATTCAATGATGTTATATCAGTAGGCGGGGCTCAGGAGCAGCGAGACAAAAACGCTGACTGAAAACCCTCAGAACACACACAGCCAGGCGCATCCTGAGGTTACTGTTGTTGACTAAAGTAAATGAGCCGAACATAAATGTACAAATTATTGGTGGTGACTGTCCCCACCCATTTCCAAGTTGGTGGGGACATGTCCACACCAGTCCTTCAGAAAGTTACGCCAGTGATATGGGGCTGCATGTCAGGTAAAGGCACTGAGGAGATGGATGTCATTACATCTTCAATAAATGCACAATTTTACCTTGAGATTCTGGACCATTTTTTTTTTCTATCCCATAAATTGAAAGGATGTTTCTGGATATTTTATTAATTTTTTCAAGATGATAATGCATCTTGCATAAAGCAAAAACTGTGAAAACATTCCTTGAAAAAGGAAACAAGGCCAATGGCATGGCCTTCAAAGAAACCAAAACTTAATCCAATTAAAAATCGTTGGTGGAAGTTGCAGAAAATGCTCCATGACAAAGCTCCAACCTGCAAAGCTGATCTGGCAACAGCAATCAGAGAAAGTTGGGAGCCAGATTGATGAAGGGTGCCGTTTGTCACTCATTAAGTCCATGCCTCACAGACTACAAGCTGTTGGAAAAGCCAGAGGTGGAGCAGTCTTTTGTTTTTCATGATTCCATAATTTTTCCCTCTACTTGGTCTAAAAAATTTACCATTACTGACTACAACTTTTTTGTTTTTTTTTAGCGTTTCTTAAAGCCAGACAGTTGCCATTTGAATTGACTGTTTTTTCAGTTTTGTGTCATGTCTGTGATCTACTTTTTTCTAAAAAATGAAACAACTGAATGAACATCCGCCGGTGATTCCATCATTTTTGCCAGGGGTTGCCATCAGGTAATTCAAAGTAAAATACAGAAAAAAAGAAAACTGCATTCTAGACATGAATCACATTAAAATCTCTATTGTAAACTATCAGCTATATGAAAGACACATTGAATCATGATTTGAATTTGTTAAAAAGATAAAATAAATAAAAGATTGCAGTAAATTATGATGTTCCAAAACCTGTTGAAAAGAAGCCAACAGTATCCGTCCATCTCTGGTTTTCTGAGTGCTGTTTTCTAAAGGTGAGCAGATCAATCCTAGGACCGATACTATCGATAGCAACGCTGGCATTGATATTGAACAATACTCGTTTAACAAGATCAATACTTTTTATTCTCTCCCGCACGCATTAACTGCAGCAGATTCACCAGTCTCCCCGTCTGTGTCACAGCACCTTGCTGCTCCCCCTTCATAACAACAGCACACGGGCTACAAAGCTGGTTAAATGCAGTGGAAACACAACAGCTTTATATAAGCACATGAAAAACCATAAGCAAGAAAACGTTGAGCTACAGAAATGGAGAGAGGAGACGAAACATTGTTCATTGCCCTGACAGACGGACGTCACTGACAGAGGCGTCTAAGACCTCCAGAGAATATTCAGGTAGATGAGAGGGATCCCCTTCATATTCACTTTTAAAGTAGATACTATATGTCATATATTACTGGAGCCCAATCAGAAAGTGTAATTAAGATTCCAGTACATTTATCCCATTAAAATATGTCCTCTAATTGGGCTAACATTAGCTAATCCTTTATTTATCCCACGACAGGGACATTTATAGAATTAAAGCAACAGGCAAGTGCACATAATACAAACAAAATTACATAATGATTGAAAGATAATATGAGGTGGATTGGGGGAAAAAAAAACACTATCAACATTGCATTACTAATACTATTATTATTATTCAATATTAATAATAAAATAAAAATCACAGAAACACTGAAAGATCAACAGTTCCATGATACATTGAGCTTAAATGTTAAAAAGTATCAGTATCATTATCGGCGATACTGATATCGATAAGATATCAGTATCGCTGATAATGTATTAACCTGCTATTGTATCGATTTAAATTCCCGGTAACTGGTTCTGGTCCACAGATAATGAGCTAGCATTTTTCTATTAAACCATAATATGATTTCAGGGCTGCAGGTTCTGCATTAAAGGTCAGAACATCAGCTAGATCCAGGTCTGGTTCATGATTCTGTTTTCCAGATCCATGCCTGTCTTAATTTTTAATAAATACAACTGAGATTTTCACCAAGCTGAAGCTTTTTATCCAAATCTTTCAGGTTGTGAATCCATTACATAGTTTTCTGGTTTTGAAAATGTGACTACCTGGTGTTTGGGTCTTACAGCATTTGGTTTCTATAGTTGCAGGTAACAGCCCTGTAAGGTTAGGGCTAATAAATGAAAAGTCGCCTCCTTTACATGATGAGTGACAGAATACAGTGTAACACCGGTTTCCTATTGATTCTGGTCACAGCGGCATCCAGAGACAAAAACATTAATCATATCTAAATTCAGGGTCATCGTTATCGACACATGTTCCCAAACAAGGATCTTTAAACTTCAGTTAAACAGTCAAACCAGTCAAATCAACATTTCTTACCTGCACGTGTTTATGCTGCTTCACGACCTGCCGTAAACTGTGCTAGCTGTAGTTCCACGGTCCTTGTATAACAGCGCCTAAGTCTTCATTCTGAACTACAGCCTCTAGTGTCGGAACCTCAGTGACCCTCTCGGTACAAACCTGTAGAGGGTGTAATCCTTTACAGTCTGCCGTAAGAGGACTCAGCGGGTGGGACGAGGAGAAAATGATGCGTCTACTACCAGGAGGGGTATAGAGACGGACCAATCAGAGCGATGTTTTCAGTGATGTCACTGACCGCTGCCAAAGCGAAGGAAACCCAACATCAGCTTTGGATTATGATTGTCCTTTTATCAGTAAGAAAACAACCAATAAAAGTTTAAGAAATATTTTATTACGAGATGTTTTTTCACCAGCTTTTATATTTTACTAGTCTAGCATTTTTAAAAATATAAATTAAACGTGGACTTGGTTTTTCAAAAATATTTATCCTGTTAAAGTATTTTTGATAAAAATATGTAAATGGGATTTGGACCCAATGTGTACTTTTTGTAAAAATAACGAAGAAAATATTATTCATCTTTTTTGGGATTGTAACTATACCAAAATATTTTGGAGAGATATTTCAATTTTTTTCATAAAAGAAATATAAATATTACCTTAACGGATAAGTATGTTTTTTGGGGGGTACAGGGAAATGCGAACTTGTCAAAACAGAATTTTATCTGTTATTTTTTTCATTATCTATGGTAAATATATTCACACCTATTTATTATCTTCTATTAATATCTATGTAGAATCCTTAAAATTTAGCTCAAATGTTAAAGCCATTCAAATTATAGCTGCCCTTAAAGAAATGGAACCCCTGAGCACAGATTTGATTTTGACAATGTAAAATAATTGTTCTATATTCTGTAAAGCACGTTGATGATGTATCTGTATGTACTCATTAATGTTCTGTTTTATGTTCTTTGTTTGCAATAAAAAAAATAAAATAAAATAAAAACCACACATCAGATAATTGGTCTGGGTTCTACAGATGGTGTTTTTAATGTAGTGTTTTAATAATGATAATATTGTAGAAACACCGGTTAAGAACACACATAGTTACTTTTTTTTTTACAGAAAAACCAGAAATAACCCATAGAGGGATTATCAGGCAACGTCACTCTACGTCACTTCCGGCACCAATGCGCATGTCGCCTGCAGAAAGAGCCGCTAACATGTCTTGTTGTGCTGTCGGTTGCACGAACCGTTTTGATAAAAACAATAAAACGCGCAAGTTTTACCGAATCCCATCAACTCGCACCCCTTTCAAGGCAAACAAGAGACGTCTTTGGTTGCAAGCCATCAGAAGAAGCGATTGGAACGAGCAGATGATTAAAAATGCATCAATCTGCAGCGATCACTTTATATCAGGTAAGTCTTATCTATAAAAAAGCTAAACGGCATCGCTGGTTTTACAAACAATGGTTTTACATACAATTATTAAGTATTACATATATAAACGGGATTAATGAATCGTACAAAACACATTGGAGCATAACTAGCATACAAGCTAATGTACCTTGATTCAGTCTTATCAAGTTGCAACTCATCGGGTCAGCCATAAGTTTATCATTAACATCATCACGTTGTCTGGTCTAAACTTCTCTGTGTGTGCTGTCTTTTCAATTGATTGACTAGTGTCTGTTGATGATGATGATGATTGCTTCAATTCATTATTTGTACAGGAGAGGCATCAGACGATATCCCAGACTTTGTCCCGTCTATCTTTCCATACTCAATCCAGCCCGGCAAAGACGGTGTTGCAAAACTGGAGCGGTAAGTATCACATCTGTGTGCTTGATTGTTGTCTGATTACAAGCATGACTCCACATAGTATGACTGGAAGTGCAAAGAAAAAATATTGATATATTGTAGCTATATAGGTTACCCGGGTTAAAGGTCAGAGCATGTAGTTTTTATTAGACATCTCATATGGAGAGTTGGGATGACTGAGCATGTGATTTGTATGGACTTGAATTCAGGAGATTGTTCTCTCCTGTGTGTTTCAGATATAAGAGAAAAAGAAGAAGGGATGCAACCCCCAGCAGGTGTCCAGAAGATGGACATCAGTGTACACCCTCTTCCATCTCTCCAACTAAGTGTGGAATAGAGGCTGGTGCTGATCTATATAATGGTATGAAACCTTATTACTAACCTGACCAAGACGGCCTGCAAACTCATTTGGATTTTTATAAAGGGACGTAGATCTGTGTGTTCCTAAATGTTAACATATTAATTATTGCAGAATAGAAAGGTCACTAGTGTACGGAAGAGGTTTAGGGCCACTGAAAAAAAAAAAGTAAACTGATTTTAAAATCTTATTTCAGTTTAACATGGGAACAAAGTCAGAATTCTGACTTTTTTCCCATACTATACTGAAATAAAATAAACAAAAACAGTTAACTTTTTTTTTTTTTTCCAGTGGCCCTTATCCTCTTCCGTACTAGGGGGATTAATCAGTTAGTAATGTTCATATTTGTTGCGAACAGGTATTTGCCCACAGTGTGACTTATCACCCAGAATGTAACCATTTGTTTTTTGTAAAGATAAGAATGTAAAATTTGTATTTATTTTTCAGAAGGTATGGTCCAAAAGACTGTCCATGATGACCTCCAGCTGAAGTACAGCCAACTTCATACAGAGTGTGATAACCTGCGTGAGGACATCAACAAACTGAAAACAGAGAATGAACAATTAAAAGAAATGCTCGGGACTGCACATTTCTCTTTTGCGTCACTGAAGTGTAAAGCAGCACAGGTGCTGTTTTTCACAGGTCTAACCAGTGCCCTCTTTAATTGGGTCCTGCAGACGATTAAGGACAGTGTTGAGGTCATCCGTGGCTCTCTGACCCTAGAGGATCATCTTTTGGCTGTACTCATGAAACTCAGATTAGGACTCACCAACAAGGATATTGCATTCAGATTTAATGTTAACGAATGTGACATCTCTAAAATCTTAAGAAGTTGGCTGCCTATTATGTCTCAGATTTTGAAACCTTTAATCAAGTGGCCAAGTAAGCATGCTATTTTAAAGAATATGCCAAAATGTTTCAAACCTAAATACCAGCGTTGCAGGTGCATTATTAACTGCACAGAAATTTTTTATTAACAGACCAACAAATTTAACAGCCAGAGCCCAAACATATTCAAATTATAAGAGCCATAACACGGTTAAGTATTTGGTTGGCATGTCACCTGCAGGAGCAATTACATTTCTGTCTGCAGGTTGGGGTGGGCGTGTTTCTGATAAACAACTTTCAGCCGAGTCTGGATTTTATGACCTTCTACAAGTAAATGATGAGATACTAGCAGATCGTGGTTTTACCATTAGAGATGAGCTTGCCTTGCGTGGTGCTACCCTGAGGATCCCTCACTTTACCAAAGGTAAAAAGCAGTTGTCTGCTCAAGAGGTGGAAACATTGAGGCGTTTGTCCAATGTTAGAATACACATTGAAAGAATAATAGGGAGATGGAAAACTTTCCGAATTCTTACTACTGTTATTCCTTTATCACAGGTGGACCTGTTAGATGACATTGTAATTGTTTGTGCAGCATTGACAAACATTTGCAAATGCATAGTCCCTAGAAAATAAATTAAAAGCCCTTAATTGAATTGTGCCAAAATTAAGGCCTTAATGTTGTTAACATCTATGAATTGAGGTTTAAATGTCATTGAATATTATTTTTTTTGAAAAAAATGATTGCCTAAGTATTTTCACTGCATAAGCTCATTGAACATTCAAAAGCTGTGGTTTAAAACATTTTGCAGCAGTTTTGGTTCAAAATGTGTGTTGTATCAAGTTTGCTTTTGAATATTGAGATTTTTCCTCATTCCTCTGTTGTATGATATATTTCAAAATCTTAAATGAAATATGCAGATATTTTGCTTTGTGTTTTGCCATTGAAAAGAATACAATTCAATCAGCTGATACCTGTGTACACCCTGTGTAAATATTAATAAAGTATTCAAGAGTCAAGGAAACATTGAAATATATTTATTCTTGTGCATGTAACCAATAATAAAAATAACAATATTAAACAATCTTGTCATAAGATGCACACTGAGAACCTTAGTGCATACTTTGAATGGTAAGCACAGGTACAGTTACAACTCTATTTTTCAGAGTGCATTTTTTCTAGTTTTTCTGTTTTTTGCGCTGATCACAATACCATTCTTTAGCCTTTCTTTTTACTTTTGCACATTCGTAATGGAAATGCCTACTGCACTTTGCACAGGTGGGAATGAATGTCCAGCCACTGAATTTTTGGGCCATTTTTTCTCGTCATTTATCCACTCACCGGCATGTAACGCGTATGGGTCATTAAGACGTATTCCATTAACTAGTGTTAATTTAGCAGCATAACTTATTTTATCACTAGGTGATAAACTGTTGTAGAACGCTGACAACATCGCTAGTTAGCAGATCGCAACTGCTAAATAACCGCGTATAATCACAACATTCGACCAGACGCTTTAAAGGACCCGGCACTTTTTGCAGTCAAGATGCGCGCGCATCCGCCGTGTTGATAAACAAATAATCCCTCTATAGGAGCACAGAAAGTCAGAATTGGCAACAAACCAAATCAATCCAGAGGCCAGAAATCCTCTTTAACTAGATTATTGAAAGGTGAATAAAACAAAAAGTTAGTGGAGTCCTGCTTATGGTTGGTGATCAGTTGGCTCAGTTCATCCAGTTGTTTCAAGTGCAGTGGTGTCAAAAAGTAGAAGTATAGATTCTGCAGTTTAAAAACTCTGGTAAAAGTTGAAGTATCAACTTGACCTCTTTACTCAAGTAAAAGTGAAAAAGTATGTGCTCCAAAAACTACTTAAAGTATAAAAGTATAAATTAACCTTTAAAAAAAACAGCCAGATGCCACTATATGAATGGAAAGCTTAATTTTATGACAATAAAAAAAAACGTTTAGAGATAGGGCCAAGGATGAGGCAGGTCTTGTTGGTCTTCATCTCCCGATACGCTCTCGCCTGTGTCCGACCTTTCAGACATTTCAACATCTTTTTCTGAATCAGACATTGTAGCATGGCATAGACAATTCACGTTTAGTTTGAAGAACACCTGCTTGCTTCTGATGATTTCCTTTAGCTAACCAATGGGTGTTTGCGTTATATGACTCATCCAATCACACTAGTTTTCACTAAATGTGGATGGAGCCAACATTAAATCGAAGCCAAGAGTAATGAGTGACATTTGTTTTAAAAATATAATGAGTAGGAAGAGAAATGAGTAATGGAGCAAAGTATAGATACCTAAAAAGTGTACTTAAGTACATTAACAATGCTGATGCTGGACCCAAAACCAGAATCAGGGATCATGAATAAAGACACTTTGTGTCAGAAGAGGCTTTTATTGTTAAAGAATTATGTACAGATGAGGCAGCATTTTCCATCTTTCACAAAAAAAACAGCCGTTGAACTAAAACCTTCTGCAGCCTACATTTCCCAGAACTGATCTAAAATATCTGTATCTAACTGATCAGCTGAAACAACAAAGGTTCATTATGAAACTCCGCCTCCATCCAGTCTGTAAATCAGAGGGTGGCTCCACTGATCCAGGATGTGTGACAGAGTGAAGCATGATGGGAGGTGAATATGGCCTCCTACTGTTCAATCTGAAGCTCCTGCAGCTCCTTCAGCAGCTGCTCCTCCTTCTGCATCTTCTCAAGCTGCAGCAGAAAGGAAGATAACATTGATGTCATCATTCTCAGTGAGATGGGGAACCTTCCCTCGGAATATCACATCCCTCCACAACATTTAATCTGCTCCAGTCTGGGTTTTACGTATCCTAATGTTATACTGTTTGCAGATGATGTTAGTCAATGTTTTGAGATCCGTCACCTGGTTTTTCTGCAAAACTTTTCCAGACGCCTGCTGCTCCCTCAGCTCCTCGATGGCCTTTAGCTTCTAAAAACACACCAAGACACGACAATGAGCCTCCAATAGAGATGGGTTAATGAGGCATATTTCCAAATAGAAATAAAGGCCTGCCTCTAATTCTGGCCTCCTTCCAATAATGGCCTGGACCAAGATGTACCCGAGTTAAATAAAGGCCTCGGCCTATATTAGAGGATTTACGGTACTTATGTTTTAGTGTTGGATATCAGAATTCATTAAAAGATATTAAATAAACAAATATTATTCATCATCAACAAAGGGTATGAAAACAACAGGCAGTGGGTAACATGAACTCTATATAGAAACAGACAGTGGAGTGATCCTATCAGCATGTTTATATCAGAGATTTTAGTAGGCTTATATTGTCTGATACTTATTTGGTAGTTGATATCAAACCGATATAAATATCGTCTCAGGACTTAGGCACCTAGACTGGGTGCCATCCCGAACTTAGTCCCGCCCACAACGTCTGGCATTGCTCAGTAGTAGAGCGAGTATGCTAGCACAATATCTGGCGGGCCAATCAAATTGTCAGGGCGGGCTTAATACGATGATGGACAGATGATCAACAGTAACGTAATCAACCACATGACCAAAGCGCGCTTGGGTGACAACAATAATGGCTGCCGCTGGAGAGCTTAGGTGAGTAGATTCTGCTATTAGGTCTGTTGTAGAAAATATTGACAGCAAATTAATTTTAAAAGAGGAACAGAGAAACGCAATCAAGGCTCATCTTCTTATTCTAGGCGTGCAACTGCACGCTTTGATTTTTGTTGACAACAACTATGCGTCGCTTAACATACGTCACGCACTCCGTTGCTCTTATTGGTTGTAGGTCTATCCAATTCCTGGTTAGTTCGAAACACGCCCCATAATCACAGCTCTATGGAGCAGTATCAGACTCATATTCTGACTAGAATTGAGTAGGACTACGTCAGGCTAATAGGCTCCACAAATATTCTATAAATATGAATAATTTCAATTTAAAACATGAAAAACCTTTATTGTTTGCAGATATGCGCCATTTAGAACTCCTTAACTTGCAGTTTTAGCTTGATTCAAAAATCTCCAATGAAGCATGTTTCTTGTTAAAATATCAATCAGTTAAGCATAAATGAGTCAACAAATAATCAAGTAGGGGAGTAATCTCTGGTTGCATTTATGCTATTATTATAAAGCTGTTTTTAGTGTTTTTTCTGGTCTGGAAGCAGGAGCTGCTCATGTATGCAACAACAGCTGTGCCGAAATGTACCGGAAGCGTTTCACCTTTCTGACCGACTTCCTGTCTGGCTTATCCACTTCTTAGAAACTGATGCATTCATCCTTCAAAGCTAAGTGCTACTGAGCCAGTGGGAATGACTGCATAGAATAGGAAGGCTGCTATTTGTGAGAGAAAAACAAACAATTTAAATCTGGAATATTAAAAAAGACGCTGCCGTCACAAATCAAAATGGCGCCTTTAAAAACACACAAGTTAGATGTCCTCTGGTGTCTGTCAGACATTTAATACAGAGCTACTCTTCCACATAATAGTCTGTCTTACAACTTAGAGTAAAATGACATGGTTAAGTTTGATGGTGTTGATTTTTCTTCCGGACAGATTATATTTTGTTGCGTTTTTGCTGCAGCAAAATAATTTTTCAAATGGAAATTGAAAGAAAAAAAAATGTCGTCCAGAAATAAACCTAAAATATTTACAATCAATGTTTTTGAGTAGAACTTTTCTTTCTATTATTTATTTTTAAATGTATCTAAAAATGTAAGTTTTCTTTAAATGTGATGTTTTCAATTTTCAAAGTTTTAGGAATTGATTCTTACAAAAAAAAATTAATCATTTGAAAACAGCTAAATTTATCTCAAAACTTTTTTTTTGATTAAAAGGTTTTCCAAAGTTCCATTCCTGGATGCATTTTTTTTTTTATTTCCATTAACAAAACTTGTTTTTTGCAATAACAGTGGAACTAAATTCCCTCCATAACTCTTCTCACCTTCTTTAGATTCTTGATCTTCTTGTCTGTCTCTGGGTCGCCGCTGCTTGCCTCTGATTGGCTGTTGCTCACGGGGGCGGGAGCAGACGCAGGTTCAGGGTCAGGTTTGGCCTCCTGCATTGAAGTTAGCGTACAGATCATCAATGATTAGAAAGATCATCAGAGAGATGACCAGGATCCTCAGCTTTCTGTTCCTTTATAGCTTTTGGTGTCTGTTTTTGTTCTCTGATCAGACAAAACCGTAACGAGAGAAAGCATCCAGAGTCTGTTCACCTGTTTGGCTGCTTTCTTAGCTTCGCGCTTCCTCTGGTTCTTCAGAGCAGACTTGGAGAGACTCTTCTCTCCTGAGTGTCCTTTTCGGAGGTCCTGAGGAGGCTCATCCTTGTGCTGATAGAAGACAAACACTAACATTTCTATTTCTATAATCACATACATAAGGTATTCAGATATAGTTAATAATTCCGTGAAAAACGTTTCAGTGGCAGAAAAGGAACTGGTCAGCTTCCTGCTTCTTCCTTACCAGTTTGGAGCTGGGTGTGGCGGGTAGGTGTCTCAGTGCTGGTGGGCGGTACGCCTGCGTGGGTGCAGCCTGAGTGGTCCCCAGCTCACTGGGTGCTGCCTGGTACTTTACGGGGCGCTCAGGAAACGCCCCGCTTGGGAAGGACTGCCAGCACACCTCCCAAAGCTGCGAGTTCTCAGCAACGCTGTGTTTGTGCAGCACCGAGCCCGTGTAGTGCCAGATCTTAAATCCGTTACTGACCCGCAGCCGGGGGGAACACGTTGCCGTGACAATGTGCTCGCCATCCGGACACCAGGAGAAAAAGGTGGCGTCCGGAGCCTCGGGCTTGGACATCTGAGGGGCAGAGAGTCATGGTGATGAGACCTTTGGAAAAGTGAGCGGACTTGGAAAAACTAACAGCAGAAAGCTGCTGACATGGAGTACGAGGAAAAATGGAGTGCTTAACGAAGCCAACATGAGCTAACGTGTAAAATGAGGTGGAAATAAGAAGCTGACATTAACCAGCAGGTAAAACAGCTACTAGTGCAGATGTTGCCTTAAAATAAGATTATAACCGTTAGCCTGTGATAGCAGTAACAATAACAAAGCTACTTTTACAGCAAGCTTTGATATTCATTTTTACTTTATAGTGAAATAGTTTGGAGAAAAGTACAAATTTGTACTTTGTCAATAGTAGGATATACGTCATGTCTACACGGTTCATATTACAGGAATCTGGTGAACTTTAATATGAGGAATCTATTCAGCAGGAGCTGCATAGCCACTGAACATCAAATAAAAAAAAAATTTGCTAATGGAAACACTGCAATTTTGAAAAAAAAAAATGTTAAGATAAAAGGTTTTTAAGGCTTCAATGATGTGGTTTTTCAGCCACTTTTGTTTCCCAAGCACATGAGGATCTGCAGCTGAACCTGAATGCCTAATGCTACGTTCAGACCGCACGCTGCAGAAGCAGCACAAACATGCGTGCTGCTTCATTTTTGGTGCTCTAGCTGCGTGGTCAAAAAGCAGGTCTGATGCGTGTTGGGCGGAGCTACGCTATCCGTTCTTTGTGTCCAGATGCTTCTGTTGCTCCTGTGTTCAACGGCAGAGAGCGCTTTTGCTATATTTGCTGTGATCAGTGGGTAAAAAGTAGTTCTAATGTTTTTTAGTGAGAAAGTCCACCTGAAAACTTTAACTGTGCAGTCAGTTTATCAAGATAACGATCCTGCCTTCAAATGTTATTTCGCTGTTGGAGCCGCTCAGACCCCCGTACACCGGCGGTCCTCTGTAACTGGGAATCCCGTTCAATGGCAGCCTCTGGCCTGGTCGCCTCTTCGCGGTTTTCCGCTTTTACGGCGGCTGGAAGGTGTTTTTCATGTACTTAATCCAAACTGCAGGCACCAGAATAATGAAAGCAAACATATTTTACTGATAGTTTTCAACATTTTAGGTTAATTTAGGCGTTAATAAACTGTTTCAGAGGAGTGATCATAGCGCTCTGCATCAGCAGTGCTGTGTCTGTCTCCTTGCCAGCTCCCAGATCAGCTTCTCTGATTGGTTGAAGCTCATGACGAGCTGCTCCTGCTGCAGGACCTTTTGCTGCGCCTTGTTCACTATTGACCTAGCATGTAAACCGGCCGTTTCTGCTGCCGCCAGAGCTTGCGGTCTGAACGTAGCATTATAGAAAGAGGAAAATGACCAGAAATGGTTGGAAGAGGATGGCGCCCCCTAAAGCTGTGGCAGAAATATGGATATATGTCTTCTGCCATGTTGTTTTCAGTGTTATACCATGAACAAATGTATTAAAGGCTCATTTAAATAGCATTTGTTATTTAATGGAAACATCACAACTACAAAACTTTGCATTGTTGAAATTAGCAGAGAATTAAAGTTTGGCTCACATTTGTAAATGAAACACTACAAGAGAGAGGAGTTCATTTAAAGGCGTTCTCTGTTCTCAGCAGCTTGGGCAGCAGCGCCTCGTGCTAATGCAACATCATGTTTACATCACATCAGACCTTAGTGTTCATGCTGAAGGCAAACCCCTCACCTGTTTATACTTCTTCACGTCCCAAACCTCCATATGGCCTCTTAGGTTCCCGAAGCCAGCCAGTACAAGGATGTGACCCTGAGGACTGAGACCAGGAAGGATGATCACTCTGCAGGAATTCACTGTGAGGAGCCGCATTTTATCAGACACTAAAGGCTTTTAGAGTGAAAACTGTAGCTTTGCATCTACTAACAGGCAGATTTCCTCGTGTAAAAATCTTTTTTTTTTTTCTTTTCCCATTTGCGTAAACAAGAGACGCTGGCAGAGCTGTAGAAAAGCCGCTCTCACCTGTAGTAGGCAGCATTGCGGGGACCAGTGCCAAAGTCGAACACCGGGTCACACTTCAGGTTGAAGACCGTGGCTTTGGCCGGCATGAAGCCGTACACCACGCAGAACTCCATGGAGTTTGGACTCCACGCCACGTCGTAGATTGGCCCGTTTTTCGCTGTTTGAAAAGTCAAATGGAGGAGCTGGTTTTCGGAATCAGAGCTGAAGCTTTTATTTGGACTGAGCCCAGTTCTTACCGAGCTGAACCAGCGCCGTCTCTCCGTTCACTGCCAGGTAGTGCAATGTCTGCTCGCCATAATATGAAGCTCCGCTTTTGTCCACCTCGGTGCTCGCCGTGACCAGGATGGCCGACGCTGAGTGAAGGAAACCCAAGTTAACCTTGAAGATGATCCTCTCTGAACTCATTGCTTAACTCTCACCTTTTTGGTTCCACTGCATTCTGACTTTGTCCGCCTTAAAGAAGCTCTTGTTGGCCAGCGCAGCGCTCGGCCCGCCCAGAACCGGGTACTGATACAGACGCACAAATGATGGCGCTCCTTTGATTCCTGGGACATATATGGCAACCTGCAGGGACAGACAGGACAGACGTGATGACACGCCCCACATAGTGGTGTATGGGTGTTGCTCTTTGCATGCTCTGACCTTGCTGGGCTGAGCTCCAGGCGACAAAGCAAAGTCAGATACTTTCTGCATGTGCAACTTGTTTGCGATTGAATCTAAAGGAGAAAAGAAAAAGATACTGATGTTACTAGAAGGACACAAATACACTTCTGCATCGCAATCCACTATAGCAGGGGTTGGCAACCCGAACTGCTCAAAGAGCCATAAGCCCCATTTCCACTACCCTTGAAAAACCGATCCATGCCGAGACTGGTCCGAGCTCGGATCAGTTAACCAGGCCGAGCTCGGTTCTGACGACCATTTACACATCACGCTATCTCGGTTCCTCGACTCCTTGCCTCCTAGTGAAGATCTGCGGTATTACTGCCAGTATTGAAGGAGGAAATCAAGCGGTTGGTGGCGGTAATGCACCAAAAGTTGTTTGCCAACTGCCATAAAACACAAGAAGAAGAAGACGAAGAAGGAGGGAATCAAGCAAATCAAAATGGCGGCGCTCGTCACATTCAGAAAGTTATGCTTGATTGTTATTGCTGTACTTCGCTGTTATTATTTAAAATGCCATTAATTAAAATCCCTGTTGTGTGGAGAAAATTTCGATTGTTGTTTATAGTTGAAGAAGTTCTTCTTCTTCTTCTGTTTCTGGAGGGGCATTAGCGCCAACTACTGGAATTGAGTGTGATTCGGGATGTGCAGCCAGACGGAGATGACGCATTCTGCTCATGCGCTCTTGTTATCAGAGAACCGATTGAGGGAAAAACTGAGCAGAGCCCACCTCTGGAACGGGTCTGCAGTTAGCTCGGTTGGGTTGTGTCTAGCTCGGTTCAGTTCAGTTTGCTTTCCATTTACACACGATAAGTTATCTCAGTTACTGGGCTCGGACCGGTCTCGGCACGTTTTTTCAAGGGTAGTGTAAATGGGGTAATATTGGACCAAAAAAAATATAAGTATATATGTCTGGAGCCATAAAAATGTAAAAAGCTCTATGTGTATTAGCCTATTATCAAAAAGGACTAGGACTTCAATACATAATAAGCATGAATGATTAAATGTTTATCCTGGAGCAAATGTCACATAGTAGCATGAGCTAAGGGGGAGAATTCACCGCACTGTTTAGGTTTTGTTGCACTGATGAAATTATAGCAGGGTTTATAGAGGAATGAATAACTCAAATTTAATGCTTTTTAATGCTCTTAGAAATAATTTTAATGCCACCAACAGGCTGCAGCCATGTCCCGAATTCCTCGTTTTTTAGCCACTTTTGTTGAAATGAGCTTTTTTCCCCCATTCTGTAGCTTTTTCTCCGACTCAAGCCTCTTTTCTGAACATACAGCTTAGCGATCAACCGGTTCAACGCAAATATATCGCAACATAATATGTCTGACGAAATTGCTTTTGTAAAAAATATTTTTTAAATAAAGCATTTTAAATGCCACAATAAACACAGTTAATGAATTTTAATGCCAATTAAGGGTTTAATTTAAAAAATAATAATTTAATGATTTTTAATGACCCGCAGAAACCCTGTATAGGAATCATTCTATGTTGAACGTGTTTCTGTTGGTGGAGTTCATCAGGTCATGAAGAACCAAGAAGGAACTGATCTCTATCAGAGCAGTGCTCTCCAACTCTGACATCCCACATCCACATCGCCAGCATTCCCTGCGTTATTTTTATTTTTAGGATTTGGGGGGAAAAAATGCATGCATCAGAGCGCTGCCTGTTCAATCTGTGGATGAGTTTCCATCCTTGCAACCAAACTAGCAGCAGTAGTGGAGTTTGGAGATGCAATCCACTTCTTAAATCTAGCTTTGCGCTCCTCTAATTTATCCAGAAGTTCCTCAAACACACTTTTTTTCCTCACTCTAAACCTGCCGATTGGCTGCATATTTATCTGCCTTCCCTGGAAATGCTTTTCCAATTTACTCTCTTTATTTTTGGACAAATTCTCATTACAAATCAAAAATGCAGGCGATCCCTCCTCACTGACAGGGGTGCAAATATGTATTTTTGAGGTGGATGCAAACACATCATCAAACACTGCTAACTGGGACAAGGCATCGTTGCTCATATTTAACAAAAGTATGTTTTGTTTTTTTTAAATAAATGTTTCAAATTTTATTTTTTGGCAAATCGATTTTTACTAACAGCATTTTAGAGACAACGTTCTTTTCACTTCAAGCCCAATACAAAAATTCTTAACACATTGACCAAAAAAATGTTACTGACATCCATGCCGACGAATAGAAATGCTTCTTTGCTCCTCATTTCAGAGGAACGCCCGCCCCCAGAAGTGAAGAGAATGATATCTGTGTAAAGCCGGGCGTACACTGTGAGATTTTTTCAATCGTTGTATGCAGCTTCAGCTCAAACTGCGATTTTCTAGTACAGTTTGAGTTCACAACTAAGATGCCTGTTCTAACACTATGCAGGACGACGCTCTGATGCGATCTACCTGCTCACACTGTACGTATAAAACCACGTGGGACTCAGCTCTGTATGGAAGTAAATCTGTGTCGCTGGGATTTGAATTAAAAATGCCACTGAAATTTAAATGTTGTATGTTTGTACTTACTGTTTCAGTGTTAAAATATATTCAGAACACATTTTTGACCTAAAAAGAAGTTAATTGTCATTATTTCTACGCAGTTGAAATTTCATTTGTTATTTTCTCTTCAAGCTAAAAATTCACATTACTATTTCAAAGTGATTACATTTTCAATACTTATTTTTCAGTGTTAAAAAAATCTGCATATATAAAAAAAAAAAATCAACCTTTCAAAATTCAAACTCAATATTTTCAGCCTCCTGAGATTCAATTGGCTCTATTTCACTGTTTTAAATTCGGCGTCTAAATTCAGTGTAAAAACGGAAGGGTTACTTCAGGTCACAGACATGAGCAATGGATTGTGGCGTCCAACACTCAGCCAATCCCGTTATGTTTTCTTAGTCACGTGACGTGACGCTTGTGGCGCTCACGCTAAAGGAAAACCAGCATGACGGAGCCGGTCATGCAAGCTAACGCTAACTCAACTACAGAAAAATGAAAGTAATAAACTCACCGTTGAGTCGCACAACTGGAAAAAATCTCACAGTGTGAGCCTGGCTTAACGCGATTTTTAAAAGAATGCAATTTGTAAAACTCAATCTGAAAAAGAGAAGTTTTTTAACAATTATTGGAAAAAATTAAATATACATAAAAATTGGAAAATAATGGATAAAAATAAAACAAATTAAACAAATAAACAGCAAAGTTACTCTCAAAACATCTTTTTCATTAAAAAAACGATTGAATATTTTTCCCTTTTCAAAGTTTGATTTAACCACGTTTAAATGAAATGAAATCTGGTCGGCTGATATTACGTGAACTGGAAAAGGTTTTTTTTATTCCTAATGGGCCGATAAGCGCGATCAGCAGCCAGACCGCATGAAGCGCAGCATATCACCTCTCTGTGTTTTCCACTATTGATGGTAAATTCAAAGCCTTCAGAACAAATGAATCAGTTTGACACAATTGGCCAAAACTCAACACGATTAATTTGATACGGCTTAGAATGGCGACATCTGCTGGATGCTATCAGAACTACAATCGAGCCAGTATCCTAATGTCCACATTATGTTATGGTTGAACTCGTTTGTTCCATAATTAATAGTTTTAATAATGGTTATATAAACAAATAATAAATAAAACTAATATCTGAACTGTGAAACTGCAATATAATAAACAGCCCCTCTGCTGCATAACAGCTATGTGAGGCGAGTTTGGTCCTTTCAACAAATTCTAATCCATCCTGGTTTCAAAGCTATATATACATTCGGTTATTGGAGGGGTTAACATGGAAGCCTCTCTACTGACAGATGCGGAGTTTGAATCCCACTATTTTAAATCTTTTTTTTTTGCTAATTTATAATAATTAGGACTATTCTCGGCCTGTGCAGACTAATATTTGATTGTGCTGCACCTACAACTATATAAACACAAAAAATAAATTATCTGATAGTTAAAATAATTTGAACCAACTCAACAGATGATTGTATTAAAGGAGAGGCATCAATTGTTTAGATGCGGCGTGTGAATAAATATCAGTTATAAATTAATCAGTGCAGTGTTTCCCACAGGATTTTAGGAGACTGTGGTTGGAGAGTCTCTGATGTCACACACACTCCACTTTCTTTTAAAAAAATATAAATATAAAAAATATAACTGCGGATGTCTGGGGACAGCGATTCGCCTACATTATTTTAAAACATTTAAAATTTATTTATTTATTTTAGACCAAATAACATTTTACATTTACATCCTGAGGGTAAACATGCTGTGGCTCTGACTGGCGCACTGAGAGGGACTCCTGTGGAAGCAGGAGAACGGCGTTGGGACGGGGGAGGTGCGCCACGGCAGCACCTGCCGCTGGAGGACAAGAGTAGGAACGATACGTGCTTTCACCTAAGAGTCTGTTAAAGCCGCCAGTCACACCAGAAAAGTCGCTAGATTTTGTCGCTAGTCGCTTTTTTGGAAAAGAGTTGCTGGAAGGGTCTGAAAAGTCGCTAAATATAGCGACAAAGTCGCTGAGTTGGCAACACTGCACGGGCGAACGGGGCAGCATTTTTCTAAAGGAGGGCGGAACGCGCGCTTTGAAAAAATAAATCTAAAAATATAAGGCGCTGGGTGGTATGAAAGTACAGCTGTGGAATGGGCTGATAAACTGACAGATCTTTTTGTTGTTTTCTCTCTCTGTGTGTCTATATCAGAATGTGGAGTTCATTACTGGGAAACACTGCAGTGGATGGAGTGGACCTTTATTTTAGATCTATCTGCATTAAGCAAACTATTTAGAATCAATTCTAAACTAGATTTAAATATACCATTTGTTTCCCTGTATTTGAATAAAACTGTAAATGGGAAAAAACCTGCGGTTTGGGCAGCAATTCTGATGCAATTAAATACTTCAGCAATAATTAAATTATTAGAATTTACTGTGAAGCTTGATAAAAAGCGTGACGTGACAAAACCTCGCTAGCAGCGGTCACATGACTGGGTGCACTCGAAACACCTCTCAGCAAAAAACGGTAGAAGCAGACTGACTCAAGCATAACATCAGTACTTTCCACTCATTGCGGCTATTCAGAGGCATTATGGAGTTTAATATGATACAAAAAACAAACTGCAGCACTCTTCTGCTCATTCTTGTAGTTTTTGCTCTCACTTAACCACCGTCTTTTTTATATTTTTTCACCTTACCTGGAATACCATTGATGTCCGAGTTGAGCTGAATCTAAGGCTTCCATTGTTTGCTGGGTCGGACCCATTCAACATGGTTGTAAATATCTGTTTGCTTCTTTCTGGTCGTTTTAAATCATGATTTTGGTTTTCACCTGCGCAGGTTTTATGTTGTTTTCTTTTACTGAAACAAATAAAATAAACAAACATGGACGCCCTTTACCCAATGTATATTAAGGGCTGCAGCCTTATAGGTGCGTCGGCGCTGAACTACTGAGGTGTCAGTCTGCTCACCAAAGATGTTTAGTTGTAACGGGTCAAATAAAAAGGATATTTTAAAGATAACTTGCATAATACCTCTATAATAAATGTTCCTTTTTTTATTTAAATTGAGACTTAGGCATTATGTTTTAGCCGTTGTGTCATTTTTATCATATAAATGGAGGAAGAAAGAGAAATATCTGCTTTAGGAATCGGCTAAACACCTATCAGGGATCAGCTATACCCGTAACATAATAATTTGGTTAGATCAGTGACATACTCACCGCTTCCTGTTGATTAGAGGCTGAGCTTCTATGGAAGTAAATCTGTGTCGCTGGGATTTGAAATGAAAATGCCACTGAAATGTAAATGTTGTATGTTTGTATTTACTGTTTCAGTGTTAAAATATATTCAGAACACATTTTTGACCTAAAAAGAAGTTAATTGTCATTATTTCTACACAGTTGAAATTTAGTTTGTTATTTTCTCTTCAAGCTAAAAATTCACATTACTATTTCAAAGTGATTACATTTTCAAAACGTATTTTTCAGTTTAATTTTTCAGTGTTAAAAAAATCTGCATACAAAAAAATTCAACCTTTCAAAATTCAAAGTCAATATTTTCAGCCCCCTGAGATTCAACTGGCTCTATGTCATTGTCTTAAATTCGGCGTCTAAATTCAGTGTAAAAACGGAAGGGTTACTTCAGGTCACAGACATTAGCAATGGATTGTGGCGTCCAACACTCAGCCAATCCCGTTACGTTTTCTTAGTCACGTGACGTGACACTTGTGGCGCTCACACTGAAGGAAAACCAGCATAACGGAGCTGGTCATGCTAGCTAACGCTAACTCAACTGCAGAAAAATGAAAGTATTAAACTCACCGTTGAGTTAACGTTAGCTAGCATGACCGGCTCCATCATGCTGGTTTTCCTTCAGTATGAGCGCCACAAGCGTCACGTCACGTGACTAAGAAAATGTAACGGGATTGGCTGGGTGTTGGACACCACAATCCATTGCTAATGTCTGTGACCTGAAGTAACCCTTCCTTTTTTTACACTGAATTTAGACGCCAAATTTAAGAGAGTGAAATAGAGCCAGTTGAATCTCAGGAGGCTGAAAATATTGACTTTGAATTTTGAAAGGTTGAATTTTACAACATTTAAATTTCAGTGGCATTTTTAATTCAAATCCCAGCGACTAAGAATTACTTCCATAAGCTTCTCTTATATTAAAGATGCATTTCATTATGTGTTGCAGCTTTGTTGTCATGTACTTAATGAAGAGTGTTAATCAGGAGTGGATCTGGATTTAAAAAAATAAACAACAGTAAAGAAAAGAAGGCTGCGGGTTTCTTACTGAAATCGTTGTTCTCAAAGAAGTGCAGCTCGTTGTTGACGCTCCGAACACAGAGCTTCTCATCTTCAGACCATCTGGGACACCTGGGAACAATCACAGACGTTAAATCCCATCGATTGGTCAGTCAGCGAGTGCAGGCGGAGTGATCGGACCAACCAGGAGTCGACTTTCTTCTGATACAGAGCTTTGATCAGGCGGCCACTCGGTAACTCCCACAGCTGCAGGTTGGCGTCACCCTGAGGACTGTCCTGAGTCTCTGCAAAGACAACACAGCATCTCAATCAGTTCTTGGATGTTTCCTCCTACATCATTATGTATTGTCGATTCTTACTGGTGTACGGTTGCCAGGTAACCAGGATGCTGTTGAGGGGAGAGAACTCCAGCATTGCCGTTTTTGGGAGATCCAAGGTGGACACCACAGAGCCATCAGCGCATTTTAACACAGACACACTGAAGGACAGGCGGACAGACAGTCAATGAGTCTGCATCTCGTCGCTTGGAAGCAAAAATGTTAAAAACCGACCTGTGTCCATTGCACCAGCCAAAGAGCGTCCCGTCCCTGCTGAAGGCGACCGACCTGCTGGGCCGACTGTCCCTGAGGAACACAGACACGGTCACAGCACGCCGCTGGGGATTTGTTTGTTTGTTTGTGGTGTGAGTGGAGGTACCTCTGGAAGAAGGAGGCATCCTCACACTGCGGCGGTCCGCACAACAAAGATGTCCCCTCTGATCCACGCACTGAAACAAGAGCTCACAGTGAAGCTGAATAATACGAACAGGGAGAGACGCAGCCTGATGACTGAAATATTCCCAGAATCCTCTGGACTGACCAAGCTGCTGTACCCACTGATCTCTATTTACTCACTGGATCGCTGATTGCCCCTTTGTAGTACAGGGCGGAATGAAGCCATCGGCCGCCATATTGGTACTCCCTTGTTAGACCAGTCGCAATGTAAACTACACGTGTGCTACAGCATAGACGAATGATGATGTCCTCATTTTCAGGGGAACTTAAGACTTTTTTAAGATTTCAAGATTTTAAAGAAAGACTGAATTACAAGTACATGTCTGTTAATGCGGGCTGCTCAGTGGTGCAGTGGCTAGCACTGCTGCCTTGCAGCAAGAAGGTTTTGGGTTCTATTCCCAGCCCGGTGTCTTTCCGCATGGACTTTAATGTTCTCCCTGAGCATGCGTGGGTTCTCTCCAGGTACTCCGGCTTCCTCCCACAGTCTAAAAAACATGACTGTTAGGTTAACTGACTTCTATAAATTCTCCCTGTGTGTGTGTGAATGGTTGTGTGTCTCTGTGTTGCCCTGCGATGGACTGGCGACCTGTCCAGGGTGTAGCCCGCCTCTCACCCATTGACTGCTGGAGATAGGCACCAGCACCCCTCGCGACCCCAATTGGGACAAGCGTGTCAGATAATGGATGGATGGATGCCTGTTAATGTTGTAGTATTTTTCTATTTCCAAACTATGCATGCATGATATATATATATATATATATATGTTTGGGTCAAATGTTTCAATTGTTTTTTTCCCTCAATATAACATGCAGTATACTTCAGCACATAATTTTTTCATGTGAGCAATATAACAAATATTACAAAAACCTCAGCGTCATCCACTTAATAATTATTACATTGATATTTCAAAGGGAATTGCTTTCTATTTAATTTCTATTTTCTAACTTTAGGCACAATGTCAATGGCTAACTCAGTCAATATCTTCGAGTCGGTCCGAAATAGCCAGACTAATGTTATGCTACATATCATACTATAGGATACATGGGCGTATATGTGGATTTTCTTGGTTAGCACATCCACTTTTTGGTGGAAAGACTTCACACAGCTGGCAAACTGCTTGTTTGTAGGCTGCTACAGGTGTAGGCATTTTTACTGTGCGTCTCTGTGGGTGTGGGGAGTACCAATATGGCGGACGTTGGCTTTACTTTTTTTGTGGCAATCAGCAATCCAGTGAATAAATAGGGATCAGTGGCTGCACCTAGGGCTGCAACAACGAATCGATAAAATCGATAAAAATCGACTTTTAAAAGCGTTGGCAACGAATTTCATCATCGATTAGTTGTGTCGCGCGATTATTGCGTCATCTGCCGCGCCGTCATCACTGCCTCTTGACTGAAAGAGGAAGAAAAAAAAAATGGCAGAGCGAGTTAGCTCTGCAGGTGCAGTGTTGCCAACTCAGCGACTTTTCAGACCCCTCCAGCGACTATTTTCCAAAAAAGCGACTAGCGACAAATCTGGCGACTTTTTTCGGTGTCCCTGGCGGCTTTTGGAGACTCTTACGTGAAAGCATGTATCGTTCCTACTCTGCCGTGGGGCGCCTCCCCCCGCTCCCGCAGGAGTCCCTCTCAGCTCTGCAGTCAGAGCCTCAGCGTCCAGACTGCAAATGAAGCGCGTATGCACCGGGATTGTGCGGGGCAAATTGATCACAATAATTAAAATAGCCTGCGCTTTGTAAAGTGAAAAAAGTGATAACATGCAACTTTTTTCAAAAGAAATTAACATGGCACGGAACCACCATGTTTGTTTGGTTTTAAAGTGGGGAAACGTTACGTTAGTTTCTCAGGTAGCTCATCTGATGCTTTCCTTACCTTGTTAGTAGGTTACAGACAGTGATAAGGTTGGCTACTTATTTTACTTTTAATTTCATTTGAATTAACTTAAGCAGCGTTTACAATTACTTTATAAAGAAAATTAACTTGCAAATTATGAGGGCAAGGCTTTTAAAGTTTAAATCTTCTGGTGAAGATAAAGTAAAGAAGATCCTGCAATTTATGGAAGTAAAGCAGAATAAAATCCAGCAAGATCAGTAATATGTCAATTAATTATATGCTACATTCCCATGTAAATTGGAGTCTTTGGAGGATGTGTTTTTTAGCACCCCTAGTTCTCTCATTTTTATTCCAAATACAATTTATAATTTGAATCACAGGGCTATTTTTATCTCTATGGTTAAGTATTTTCTCAAGTAGCAACTTTAACTGCTATACTTTCCTGTCTTAAAAGGCAGAACTCTTCTAGTCTAAAAAAACCTCATTTGTTGAAATGGGGGGGCCTATTGTTTGAACCCCTTAGGGGCTTTTAAAAACAAAAATGTCTTTTTTTGTGCTTTATGAAACAAAGTACCCTATATTTTGTGGATGTACAGCTACATTTCTCATGTAAGTTTGCGTAGTTTTAACACAAACATTTATTTTTCATATTGCACCAGTACAGTTAATGAGCAACCTGTACTTGTGTGCTTGTTTGTTCTGTCTAAAATGTTTATTTTGGAATAAAGAGGTTAATATAAAAAATATTTTTTGTCCGATTCATCGATTAATCGAAAAAACAATCGTCCGATTCATCGATTTTTAAAATAATCGTTAGTTGCAGCCCTAGCTGCACCTGAATACGGGTTTAGTTAAACAGGAGTTATTATTTCAGCCTATTCTGACCCACAGGTGTTAATAATACACTTAATAGCTGTTTGTCAGCCAACATTAGCAGACAGAAGAAATGATCTGAACAGACCACTCTAGGTTCTGAGTCCCCATTATTAGATTCAGATCCACTTTTATCCATCTATCCCAACATCAGCAGGTTTAAACCAAAGATCTATGAGGAGGAAATAAAACCTGCTTTATTCTCACACAGGTTTGTTCCCAATAACTAAAGGATTTTACTGCAGCATTAGTTTGTGACTTCTGCTTCTGTCTCCTTGAACCAGTTGACCTCAGCAGATGGCCGCTCACACTGAGCCTGGTTCTGCTGGAGGTTTCTTCCTGTTAAAAGGGAGTTTTCCTCTCCACTGTCGCTACAAGCATGCTTAGTGTGAGGGATTGTATTTGAGTCAGTCGATGCAATCAACTGGTTTTCCTTAGATAGAAAACTTTCAATCAATCTGACTGTATGATCTGGTGAACTGCAAACTGACTTCAGATGACGTGTGTTGAATTGAATTGAGGCATATTTCAGAAAAATCAAAATATTTATTAAACTAATTGATTTTATACCCGACAGTAAAGTAAGTTATATTTTCCCCCCATCCGTTTATCTGTATCATTCAAAGATATTACCCAGAACTATAAAAATCCAGTTTGTTGTTTTGCTTCTACACTGAATCTTATTCAAACTTTCTCACATTTAAAAGTTTAATTGAAATCCAACGATGAAAACACCGGATGAAATTAAATGAATCTATTTTCTAGTCTAAGTATGATAACTTAATATTTCGGTAAAAACCCAGAGCTACAGACAGCAGCGGAACCTGCGGATCTCCATGTTTTTGTGTAGAGAATATGTGCATGAGGAGGTCAGTCAGCTGCCATGTTGGTGCAGGTATTTTTCATTCTCGTCTTTCAACAAAAACGTTTAGGCCGATTTTATTCAAGCCGAATTAACCGGCTTGGTCTGCTGTTTTCAAGGAGTTGAAGTTCCTGCTGCCGGAGCTTAGATTTTACTCCCGAACAGATGTAAAACAGATTTCTTAGGGAGTCTGGTTAAACGCTAGTCCACAGTGAAGAGAAGCGCTTCACCAGAAACTATTACTGTAATTTACCGACCAGCTGCTGACATCACAGCTTGAAAGATAAACATTCATGCAGAGACTTTTGAAAGCAGACATTTAACTATCAATTACCTGCGAGCAGAGGAATGGGGGGCGCCATGATTACATGTGCAGGACGAGGAACGGAGTTAGTCGGAAGTGCGTGAGGCAGAGGAGGCGGGGCGGGCAGTGCCACATCAGCATACCACGTCTAGATGTCTTAAAAAGAGCCCTCTAAAAAATACATTTTACCTTTTAAATTCAATATAAACTTTCAGTATCTGTGTTAAGATGGCAAAAGCGTCTTTAATTAAAAAAATATATAGTTTTATTAACGATTAACGTCAGTTTAAACCTAAACCAAGATCAAAACTCTGGAATTTACTGACAACTAATATAACTTCCGTTTTCAAAATAAAAGCTAATGATTATGTACTGGTGAAGATTCTCAGTCATCCAGGTAATAGTCATTCCACAAAAGTAAAAAAAAAAAAAAAGAGTTAAATTTTAAAAGAAGTTAAATTCCAGTGGATTATTTTTTTCTGGAATCTGTGTTATGTGGGGTATAATATTTGAACAAAGTGACTCTATCTTACTAATAAAGAAAAAGTTTGTCAAAATTTCTTCATCAAGCTAAAAATCTATTAAATTAATGTCTTTGAACATCCAGAGCGGAGGTCTTCAACAGGGGGTCCACGACCCCTAGGAGGTCCTGCATGGGGGTCGCAAAAGTTTTGGTTGATTAGACTTTTTTTTTTTTTATTCCCCCCTGAAATTTTTTCCACTAATTGAAATGTCTTTAAATCCATATTAACATGAATTCAACACACTGTAGTAAACAGATAAATGGAGGCAGAAGTTGTCTTTCAGTCATCAATGCACACATTCAGCGACACACAGGAGCTCTTTAAAGCTGGGCACCGTTTCATTCACAACACCTGTCCCATCAGCCAGGAATCAGAATCAGAAATACTTTAATAATCCCAGGGAGAAATTACTTTCTTTACATTACTCCATCTGTAAAAGAGTGACTATAGGACCAGTTTGATAGAACACATTTTCACACAATATACATAATTAGGGGGTCCCCGCTCCATCTGGCTCTCGTTTGGGGGTCCTTGGCCTGGAAAAAGTTTAAGACCCCTTGTCTAGAGGGGGAAAAAAAACTGTTTTGAAAAACAGTTTATATTATTTTTTTTATTATTATTACTTCGTTTTTAAACTTTGAACTGAGCAGGATGTTTCAAGAGGTGCAGGAAGCCCTTGAAGGTTATGCATTCAGCATTACACAAAGAGTGAGAAGAAGAGGAAAAAGCCAAACCACTTCCACCTTCCAGGTCTCACTGAGCGCACCGCACACACACAACTTTCTGAATCTATATATATATTCCTTCTGGACTGATAAAACTTGGTTCACTACCCGAAATGGATAATGGGACATGCTTCCCTCTTGGACCTGCTATCATTTAATCAGATACGGAGAAAAAAAAGCAAATAAACTTTAAATAAATAAAATAATAAATAAACTTAAAATTTAATCTAATTTCATACAGTTGCTATTGTTTATTTTAAATAAACTGGTTAAACTGTCTTGAGATAACATACAATGTAATTTGGTGTTTATAAATAAACTGAGTTGAATTGCTAATATCTACCACAGTGCTCTACCATTATTAATGTTTATTCCAAATGATATTTTCCAGATTTATTTTTTGTCTATTTTATGTTTACTTATCTGCCTGTGTAGCACCATATCACCAAAACACATTCATCATACGTGTAAAGCACGACTTTGCAAGAACACTTTTTTTATTATGATTATGACATAGTGGAAAATAAAGGATAATTTAATCAGTAACACTTCAGTGGCTCAGGTCCAAATGCAACTGAAGTAGTCATTTTATTCTGAAAGGGTTCACAGGAAGTTCTCCTTTGGTGATCAGAGGTTTTACGCGGATAGATCTGATTGGTGGGGGCGTGGCTCGCTGAATGGGGGCGGGTACTTGTGTTTTTGAGTACGTAGACAAAGCTAAGTTCTTCCCAGACCGAGAGGCATCGGAGCGGAGCACTGGAGGAAAGTTACCAGCTAAAATAAACTAAAACAAAGAAACAAAAAAAACTAGCAAAGAAGAAGAAAAGATGGTGGCCAAACAGAGGATCCGCATGGCGAACGAGAAGCACAGCAAGAACATCACACAGCGGGGGAACGTGACCAAATCCACGGTGAGTGACCAAACCTGAACAGACCCAACTCAACTGGGACCCAGTCTGAGATTTCTGACCTTCCCGAACCAGTTTGAGCTGAAACTGGGATCTGATTGGTTTTATGACGTCAGGTTAACAGGACCTGGGGCCCCTGAGATCAATCAGCTGATTAGTTATTGATGTAGAAGAAGTTTCTCATTGGCTGCAGCTGCCTGTTTCTCTGTAGGATAAAGAAAATAATTTCTTCAATTCAATACAAACTGAATCTTTTATCAGTGGATCATCTGGATCAGTGAGGGAAACTTGAGGCTGTCAGGTTTGAGGAGGGATTGATGATCTGTCAGAGTGATCAGGTCATGATGTCACCAATCAGAGCTGGTTAATCATCAGGCTCATCTGTTCTGGTTTCAGAGGAACCTGGTGGAGGAGAAAGGAGTGGGGCCATGGCTGCTGGCGCTCTTCATCTTTGTCGTTTGTGGATCAGGTGAGTCTTCCTCCTCATGGAGCATACATCAGTTCATTCACATCCGTATTGATCTCTCGTTGGTCCTACTTTGAATCAAAACTTCATCAATAATTTTATATAAAAATCACATAATAAAATCTGTTATATTGAGACCAGAAGAGGATGTCCTCTGTAACCACCAGGGGGCAGCAAAGGTTAAAAGCCATAGCCTTGAAGGATGTAAACAACCATAGAGTTATAATGGAAGAACATATTTATTAGCAGCTAAACGGACATTTTCTGAAGTTTAGATCGTAAAAAACGGATTTATTTCAGTTTTATATTTGATTGTTTATATATTTTTTCTACCATAAAACAATTTTTTGTCTTATTTTATTATTATTTATTATTATTATTATTATATATATTTGTATGTTACGGTTTAATTAAATTTTTTATTTATATTTTAAAATCCTTTGGATTTTTCCGCCAAAATTTTTTTCACTACCCTATCAAGACATTTGCACATTTAAATTTTATTAATAATTTTTTTTGTTCTTTAAACCTTTACTTTTGCCTTTTATTGTTTCTCTTAAGTGTTTTATACAGTTTAAGAGCAATATAATTTGTTTCCCAGTCATGCTGCATATAGGAAAAAATACAGACTTTAGATAAAAGGAATAAATCTATTTGATCATTCCAGTATTAAGGCATTAATACCATACTGCTGACAGATGTTTTTCTTTTTTAATAATCAGGCTAAATCACATTTGAGAATCCTCTCTTCTGATTTCACATTTTGTTTTCAAATATTTAGACTATTTCACTTTAAGACCAGTTTGGTTCTTCTGCCAATTTCCGTAAAATTGGAAAAACCAATAAATATAACTTTGTTCCACATGTCTCAAATCATGATCTCCAGACGGTATTTCTCCAATTAGACTGTTAATATTAGATTATTCTTTGGACTATGGCAGCAGCAGCCTCAAATCCAGGGTGACGTCATGAAACCTCTGTAAACGGACACTTTGACCTTTCACAGTAAAAGTTGCCCTGACCTCAGAGAGAAACGATCGATATGGAACACCTGGGAGCAGGCTTGTGTTTATCTGAGCATGCTCCGTCGACACAGACCAGTCAGTAATCATCCTTCCTCATGTTTACCCTGTCGGGCTGCTCTCATAGCACCAGAGTTATAGTCCCTGAATTCACAAGTATTTTACCCTGATGTTCATTAGGAGCAAAATACTTTTAGCTGCTGAAAAAGGCACAAAATTTTAAATTTAACACAAAAAAATGCAGTTATTTGTAATAAAACATGTAAAAACATTTTTTTCATAACAATCTGTTAACAAAAAAATAATTTGAATCATCAGTGTGACTTACCTGACCGTCTGTTTTCCTGCAGCCATTTTCCAGATCATCCAGAGCATCAGGATGGGCATGTAGATGGACATCTTCGGCAAGGGGGCGGGGCCTGAACTGTGAAAACATGACATCATCAGAGAGCTGAGTTCCTGTTGCAGAATGACGCAAACATTCCTGAACTCTGACATCATTCCGAACCCCGCCCTCTCCAATTTCGCCCCCTGCCTGTTATTTGTGTTGGCTCGGCGTGCCGCCGTTTGCTGACCTTCCCACAGAGCTTCACCCCGTGCCTTCCTCTGTTTACCTGGACTGTCGCTCCGCCCCCTCTGGGTTTACCTTATCGGCCTGATGGAGGTGATGCGGGAATGAAAGTCCAGATCCAACCTGTCTCCCCGACAGGAAGTGACCTTTTGAATCAGAAGGTGTAAAGGTCCTGACAGGTGATGCTGCACCGTGTGCAGCCCTACCTGAACATTCCTGATCCACCAATAAAGTTTCACTCTCAACATCAACCCTGTTTCTGTGGTTCCTGGTTCTGGAATGCTCTAGAATCTGGTTGTTTTGTATTTAAGTTATTTTGATTTTGTTCTAATTAAACCCACAAAATGATTCAATTTCATAATAAGCAGTATTGATAAAAGTAATAGCTGAAGAAGCTGGAGCTTTAAGTCCTGCTGCAAACACTGTGTTTGTCCACCAGGTGGAGCCGTTTCCCCGCTAACAGCTTCCTCTGGAATCTCCAGGTTCTGTACCTACAGTCCAAAGAAGCGTTTTTGCCTTCAGTTCAACTAAAAACATTTACTTTAAAACAACAAATTTAACAATTATTTAAGATTGAATTGTAATATTTTTGGTTAATATTTAACCTCAACAGCCAAAATGAGGTCATTTTGGGAAATTCTCACCTTTTTTGCATACCCAAAGGCAAAGAAAATAACTTAGGAACTTTAAGCCCAAATTACATGTGCAATACATTATTTGAAAGCTAACACCTTCTAGTTTCAGAATATATGAATGCGAATTGGGTGACTACAACACAGACCAAGCTGCATAAGTTAAAACATGACTCAAACTTGTTTTTTTTTTTATTCTCGAAAATAATAGGTATGTTTTTTTAACAGCAATAATAGAAGACATTCTCGAGAATAGCATGTCTCATAGTATTACATTTGTTCTACAGCATGGAAACAACAAATGCAGAAAATTTTAGAACTCTAGCT